CGCCAGGGCGGGGGGACACGCGTGTCCCGGGGAGCCCCCCTGTGCCCCCACGCGAGGCGCCTTGCCTTGAGGGCAGCGCTGGAGCTCGGGCACGGACAGGGCTGACATAGCCCAGGTTGGGTGTCTGACTGCCGCGAAGCTCGCGTGCAGCCGTCCCCGTCCTGCTTGCTCGCCGTCACAAAAGCCGTGGCATCCCTTCAGAGCGGTGACACGGATACGCGCGCAGAGGGAAAAATGATCGCAGGGACAAAAGGCTGCCGAGGGAATACCTGGGCAGTACCGATAAGTACCGTGAACAAAACAGAGCGTTAGAGCTGGCTGCTGCACAAACCAGACACACTTTTCCACTATTGAAACAGCTTTTCTTCTATTACAAATGTTAAAGGCATATGCTGGCAGAAATGAGGGTTTATCAGTGCCTGCTAGCCAGAAACGAGTGCTGTTCCACGCTGAACATTTCTTAAATTACATCACTATGCTCCTCACTGGAAGGCACTATCCACTTAAAAAAGGAGGAGAAGTGATCGGTCCTCTGCTAACCTCTGTTCAGAGCTGAGATTAGTTCCAGACTTCAAACCGCAGCCAACAGTGTTCCTCTCAAGTTTGCTCGTTCAGAAAGCCAAAAGCAAGGACAACACCTGTGGAAGATGAGGGTCTCCAAGCCCTGCCCCTGTAAGTCACCGCCAGCCAGGAAAGCAATGCCTCTCACATGCCTGGAATGATGGGGAAAAGCACATCGTGAAGGGTATCACACAACAACGGTCGTATCATGTCAGGGAACGGACTGCCTGCGGAGGGTTTACACATTGGTAGTGTCTGGCAGAGTTACTGCAATGGCTGTCAAGGAAATCATGATCATACTGAGGTTCTCTACACAAAACCACAGGAAGACGTTCCCGCTCGATTGCTTTTCCAAAAGGAGAGCTAACAAATGTGAATGCTCGTGATTGGAAAGCATCACTATCCCTCTCATCATTTCCCCCAGCTTTAACCAGAGTAAATTCAAGGAAGAAATCAGCACATTAGAATCAGCAGCAGCTCACACTATGTCCATTCTTGTAGTATTTGGAAGTCTTTTTTAAGTTTATGAAGGTCAAAGGCATGGCCTGCCAGCAGTGCTGGCCTGTCATCAGCTGAAATCGTCCATGCCAGGTTCTTGCTTTGGGTCAACTGACTCTATAACCTTGCCGTTCTACTTGTCATTTAGCAGCCAAAGTCACAGAAACCTTCCCAAGACTAGCGAAAAGCACACTTGCCTACATTACCAAACTCCCGTGGTGTGTTTTTGAGAAGCTCCAGCATCACCACACGCTGCACCAATAACACAGCACAATCCTTTTGCAGGAAGGCGGGCCTGTTTTTGAAATCTGCCCTGTGATATCCCAGCTGTTTATTGGGTACCATTATGATTTTAACAACTAGAACTACAATAACTTACCTTTGGGGAAGGGAATTTTACCTTCAGCAAGGTGCCCAAACTATTCCCTCTTTTGTCAGGAAGGCAGAGAAACTGTGGAGAGGCTGGCGGAGGCTTCTTGAGGAGACAGCAAATAAAGTCAGGACTTGCCGAGGGCAGGAGATGGTTCCTCTCTCAGCTCTGGGTCCCAGCGAGCACTGGATAAGGAAGTGACACAATCACAGCAAAATTAGGGAGGGGTGTGAAAATAGCTTTCAGCTGATGATAGCATGAAACAGAAGAATCAGGATCACTGTTTTCTTCCAAACCCTGAAACAGAAGCCAGGATTCTCACGCCAAAACCTTCAGCTGGTTGATTTTGCAGCAAGTACCTGTGCCACATCTGGGTAGTGCTACACCTTTCTTCTTTGTAATCCCAGCCCCTAAAGACAAAGAGCTAGTCGTGGCATGTAGAGGATGTCTGTGTGGTGCCGAGCCTACAGATCATACTTTTTCAGTCTGACAGCTTACCACTTCCTCCACTGTGCTGCGTCTTTTTAAACACGGGCAAACATTCGAGAGAGCAGTTCTATAATACAGCTTTGCAAGAAAATGAAGTTAACACTTCCCTGACAATCTTAGTCTTGTCCCTTTAATCAGACTTAGTCTTCATTCGCTCCTCTGCTCGTTTTGTACTACACCCTGCACTCAGGTTGGTTTGTGTGCAATGCCTTTAAAGCAGCTACTCAAGTCCCACTACCGAGCAGCTGCCTTGACTTTTTGCAGTGAAAAGCTCTTGGCTTCCACCTGGAAGACATGAAAACCAACCACGCAGGGAGCCCTGTGTGACAACCCTGGGGTGGTTCATTTAAAAAAAAAAAATAGCACGAGCAATAGGAAGCATGGAAGTTTTAAGCAAAGAGCAGCAATCCCTATTGGACAGGTTATTAGGGTTTCAGGAGCCGTTCAGACAGTTAGCAAGCCATGGCGCTGAGCAGTTCACAAAAAAGGGATGTGAACGCTTAACCCTGTTCAGCCCATCACTGTGTGTCGGCAGCAAAAGGTATCTGTTCAGTAACGGCAGATTTTCTAAGTAGTCCCTTGAGCCCGCCAGCAAGTTGTGAAATCTTTTCTGATTGTCACCAGGGCAACTATGGACCTGTTCTGCATGTGGCCAGCCGTCCAGAGATGAGTCTATTACCATAGGAAAAGACACCTCAAGTCTAATTTCCCTAGCTAGAAATCGCATTACTGGTGCATATGAAAGGATAAGTTCCTAATTCTGTGGAGGCTTCTTTCTGATGGCATGGTGGCTCAGCTGGCAAAACTATTGTGAAGTTTTCTGAAGCTCTGAGTTCAAACGCATGCTTTTATTTGATCTGGTATATGATTGAAACATCATTAAATATAACATCTTAAGGAAAAGTCTAAAAATAGACAAGATGTTTTTCTTTGGTAGATATCTGGAGAAAGTAAAATGCAATAAATTGGAAACAGTTAAGATATTAGTTCAAAAGTGTCATCAATTGTAAGATTTTTTTGGAACTCAGTCACTTTTGAGTTTAATGAGAATTTTTTTTTAAATGGTAACAGTAATGTTAACATTCACAGTGGTAGAATGGCAAATTAATTTTTAATTAAATGATAAATAATCAACATCACTATTAAAAGGAAAGAGAAGAAATGTGCTAGTTTTGAAGTCGATAGGAAATACTTCTGTGATAACACAAGATCAAAGATAGCATGGTCTAATTAGAATATAAAATGTTGCGTGCATATCAAAGGGATACCTACAGCTCACACAGACATCGCCAGGTAGTACAGGCACCTGAGTTCTAGAATCCTCTCTGCCTCCAGTGGCTCCAAACTCTTGTACTTTGTCACAGATTGCATAGAAAATCAAATGCAGATCTGGGAACTGAACCTGGTTTTGCTGTCAGAGTGGAACAACCCCTATGGCAGGGTGGTTGGAACTCGATTATCTTCAAGGTCCCTTCCAACCCAAACCATTCTAGGATTCTATGATAAAAGTAGTAGTATTGGAGAGAGCTAGAAATTGATCTTCTATCTTAAATTCTGCCGTTGTTTTCTGTCTTCTCCCTTTCCACAGCCAGAAGCTTCCCCTGGGTGCAGAGGAGGCTACATGGCTCCTGAACAACAGAAATTTCACACAGCAGAAGGCTGTATTCCTGATTAACTGCAGCTACTTCTGCTTTAACCACAATAATTTAAGCCAATAAAACAAAAAGAGAAATCAATAGTCAAATTGTGCCTCTGTTTCAGATGGATACACTACTGACGATATTGAATTTTACTGGAATGGAGGAGAGTCTGCAGTAACAGGAGTTAGTAACATCGAGCTCCCACAATTTTCTATCGTTGATTACAAAATGGTATCAAAGAGAGTGGAGTTTACAACAGGTAAGCACTGGTTAGTTAAGAAAGCTTCCCCCACCTTCCCCAACCCAGAAATACCAGTGCCTGGCCTTTTTTAGGCATTAGTCATAATAGGACTTCTTTCTTTCAGGAGCATATCCTCGATTATCACTTAGCTTCCGGCTTAAAAGAAATATTGGATACTTCATTTTGCAAACCTATATGCCTTCCACGCTGATCACAATTCTGTCGTGGGTATCTTTTTGGATCAATTACGATGCCTCTGCAGCCAGAGTTGCTTTAGGTAACTTCTTCTCAAAATCACTGAACTATGTAAGATACTTGTTGCTCTTGAACACAGTAGCACCAAATCCATACAGCTGATCGCAGCAGCATTGTGCCCTTACACACGCAGCGTAGGGTCTTTGTTGTCAGGAAGGCGTCACCTCGCCTACATCTGAACCCTTGCTCTGCAGTTAGGCTGGGATCCTGACTGGCTTCCAGCTGCCATAATGGTCTTTGAAACCGGCCAAAAGTATCTTGCTTCCCAACTGAAGTGTAAAGGTCTAATTCCGATATCTAAGGGTATCTAGATTATTCTGCATCAATATTTCATTGATGTTAAGAAGTGCCCTTTCAGGCCAGATGCATGGCTGGAATGAACGTCAGCTCCCACTGACAGCAGTGGCCCTATGCCAAATAAGCCAGTTTTACCTACACCGTTGCTTATTTCCCATAGCGTGTTCTTTCCTACAACTTAACCGTAAGAACCAAGATCTTCTGCCACTACCTGTGCTTTAAGGCAAATGGGCTTTCAAATGCCAGAAAGCCGTTTTGCCCCACCTCTCTGTAAATTCAACTCATCATACCTGTGCCTAGAGCTATTACCTACATGCATTAATGACCTGTGATTAAGGCAGACTAAAAAATAATTTCATTGAGCTAAAACAAAAATATAGAATCATGATGAGATAGAAATGCTTTACTTCTGAGCACCCCTTTAACAGGAAAAGCTGTTTTGGCACCAGTATATCACCTTCTCTTCATCAAAGGCCATCGCTCTATCATAAAGCTCCCCTTGAACCTTTCAATCCTGTGTTTTCAGTCAAAGGCTAGATACTTATTCCAGTTCCACAGAGCAATGGAAACCACCTAAGGGGGTCAAGCAGGGCTACTGCTGTAAATAATTGAGACGCATTTCCTCACATAGAAAGAACAGTGACCACCTCTTTGCTATCCAGGTCAGCCCTCAACACGTTCCCTAGCAGAATTATTGTAGAAATTAGAGATGTACCGAGACCACCTGAATTTTTGAAGGCTATTTCACTCACCCTCTGTTGCATGGAAAGCCAAGGAAGGTGCTGTCGGCAGGCCTGAAAGGATATCTTCCTTTCCAGTCCTGCAAACCTCATTTCCCTGGCTGTTAAGAACCTGGTTGCATAATTAAGCCATGAGAAGTGCATGGTAGCTAGGCAATGCAGCCATTACACCTTTCATGCTCAAATCACCTCCTCTTGTTAGCCCATGTCCTTTTCTTCCTTTCGCAGGAATCACAACTGTGCTGACCATGACCACCATCAGCACCCACCTCAGGGAGACTTTGCCAAAGATTCCCTACGTCAAGGCGATAGATATTTACCTGATGGGATGCTTTGTGTTTGTGTTCCTCGCCCTGTTGGAATATGCCTTTGTAAACTACATATTCTTTGGGAAAGGACCCCAACGTCAAAAAAAGGCGGCAGGACATGTTACAGGCAAGAAGAGCAGACTGGAAACAAGTAGAGTCCAGGTAAAATGTCCAAGCTAACTCTTCAAACATTATTCCTGCCATGACAATGTTGATGTACACAATGATAGAGATAAATGCAGTTTATACACGTATGCAAAAGCATTTAAAGATTATCTAGAGAAAAATTGCATTTTAAGGTGATGACAGCAACATATAGTTTGTTCCATCTTCAAGTGAAAACAGAGTAAGAAACTACAGAAAATGCAAATGAATATTCAGAACAAGCATTCCCTTGCAGCCCAGAAGAAATACAAGGGATACAAAGAATCTAAATATTTCCCATTTCAACTGTATATGTCTTTGCTATAGAAGTTGGTATATAATAAATGTTTAATATATAGTTCCTCTTTACACACAGAAACTTCACCAAAACTAGAAAGCAGACAGACACTCCTTCTTCAGAAAAATCTGGAATGAAGCTCATACCACTGAGCTTTGAGGAGCACAAGGAGGATGCTGCTAGGTTGTAACAGCTTTCACAGGTTTTAGGATTTGTCCCTGAGGCTAAATTCCAGCAGACCACAGCTCCCCCCTCTTAAAAAAAAACAACACACGCACAAGCAGACAAATTCCAAGAAGTAACACTATGGGTATTTTTTACAGGGAAAAGTTTAATTTAGCAGCCCATCACTGAGCACTTGCAAACTTCTACAAACCTATTCCAGGTTTTCAGAAATAAACAATTCCCTCAGGTGTATTTGGCCCAGTCTGACTCAGAGGAAAATACATATCCTAACGAGCCAAAATTTTTCTTCTACTCTCTGCTTTTCTTACTATATATTACAGCCAAGTATTAATGAGATCTTACACAGGCTGCCCTATAAAATTGTGTGCTGCGGTGGCCTACAGTGATAAAATTTGGTCAAAACTATAATTGAGCTCACTGTTCAGCTGGAAGAATGAGAGAATAAAACTCAGAGGTAAGACATTAGCTTGATGGATGGTTGCAATTTCACGTACATGTTCAGAAACTCTGTTATTTAATTAGTTTCAGAGATGTGAGTCTTGTGTCCCAGCAGCCACACCACTACAGCTAAGCATCATTAACAGTCGCCATGCTTTCAGTCCCAATGAACTCATGAGAGCCCATTAAAAGTCCTCACCCACATTCGCCTCCTTTCCCAATGTGTAGGAGATGCTTTATTACAGTGGGTGCACAAATTCAGTTCAGGCTTGCAGCAGTCTCCAAGGTCCCACAAAGTATTGCCCTCGACAGAGCAGAGGAGATAAGCCACCTCGTTATGGACTGTTGTGTGCAGATATTGTCTATCCATCTCTACGGAAGGTAAGGAAGGAAAAAACCCAACAAACCCCACAAACTGGGAACAGACACCACAACAGCTCCTGAGCTAACCCAGCCTAGGGGCGAAGCAGCACAGCAAGGGCTCATGAAGCAACATTTCTTCAGAAGTCAGCCTTGGCTACATGGGCCCCAGTGCACTGAACTGAGTAAAGGATGAGAAATTGTAAAGGATAAGAGTGCAGGTAAGCTCTTTCCTACATATTTGGCAAGTTTGTTTAACTAACAAAAAGCCCTAACTTATGACTAAAAGCTTTTGTCTAAATGTTACCCTGGCAAATATCACACTGAGACCAGTACTCAGAATGGGACGGAAGGTATTTACAACCACACTTGACCTTTTCAGGACACCACATGCATACACCAGCATTTTTCTAACAGAAAATTTAAGACATACACATTTTGTACCAAGAGACTGAGAATGCTTTAGGTGAGCAGACTGGTTTCTGCCTGTACAGTGCAGTTTTGTGATTTTATCTATATATACATACACACAGAAATGGGTATCAATAGATTTTGTTATCCCACTGGAGATACATTAATGTGGGACCTTGTGAGCATTCATTGTACTCAGCATGGAAATGCTGATGTCCAACAGCCGTATTACTGCATTTAGCAGGAAGAAGCCTTCAGCAGGAAGAATGCACGTGACCGAAGCGGTGGGACACAGTAAGGTTATGTGATCTCTAGTGAAGACAGCTCCCAGCCCCTCTTCAAAACCTCTTGAGAGTTTTTTCACTTGTATTATGATGGTCTGTACCAAAGCAGTGGAAATGCTTTTCTGGAGCACCAAGGAAGTACAACTGTAAGTATGTACAGCTATAGGATATTTTTTCCCTTTTATTCTTGACCCTTACCACTTATCCATAGAGGAACCTGTAATCAATAGGAGATACGTAACAGTGCTTCCTCTCTTTGTGCCAGGTGAAGATACTCTCATTCCTCTCTGACATACATACCCCCCGACTAAAGGAGTTCGACTTCTTTCACCAGATAACAAAAGCATTAGACACGTGAGCAATGCTCAGCAAACTGGCCATGATATTAACACAATATAGAGAAGACCGGATGGAAAAAGAAACCATAATGCTGTTTCATGTGTGGCTGTTCCTTGCCCTACAGACTGAAGAAGGTGGAATTCACTACCTATGCCATTTTAGTTTTTAATACACACAAAAAAATACAAATCTGTAGCAAACAAGCTTCCTGTTTCTCTGAATAAAGCATAAATACCACCTATATCTCCTTGTCTGTTTGATGAAGGTAGATGTCACTGAGGAAATCACCATAATTATGGATAAATAGGACAAACCACCCAGCAAGAAAATAGTTTGATGGTCAATGCATGCAACTGCTTGTTTCCCCAGACAGTGTTAATGGGAATGAACATTACAGAAAACATGTCTCTTAAGCATGAGAATGATGTAGGATGCAATCACAATGTGAGTGGGAAAGGGGCTGAACCATCAAGAGGTTCATAAATGGCAACACACGGCAGGTGATAGATGGCCAATTACTCCCCAGTTCTGCACAGCATCTCACCTTCCTTTCAAACCTTCTGTGAACCACAAAACACCTTGATGGAAAACCAGAGACCATCCACTCCAAGGAAAACACACAGCTTCCTGGTACAGGAAGGAGAAAAAGGAGTGAGCACATAACCACACAACTGTCTCAGCCTTCAAGTAAACCCACACCTGAGTAAGTTTACCCCTGCTGAGCACAACCCATTTCCTTGCTGATCAGATTGTGACACTACTACTACATTGTTCTGACAAGATGGTCTGTATGTAACATGGCCCTGAATCTTTCATCTTAAGAGAATGAAAGGAAGCTTGTGCATTGAGAAAAAATAAAAGCTCTTCCCACTGATCTCCCAGTGGTTAAGGTAAAAAAAGTAGGTAGGTAAAACCCATTCCAGACAGCACTAAGCATTTAACACCCGTCATCTGTCAAGGAGTGCCAGCTTACACTTCCTGTGGAGCTGACTGACTACTTTTTATGTGGTCAACACAGGACTGCTGTTTTGGGGAGTTTTTTGTTACTTGAACTATTTTATACTTACAGTATCATTTAGCAAGAAACTCATTTTCTAAGTAAACATACAGACAGATTTGTAATTTTTTTTTTTTATGATGTTTCCTGAGCACACATCAAGGCTTTTCCATCCCTAATGAAGATTCATATATAGACACCTGTGTTGATTTAGGCTTTAGGTAGTTGCAGTGCAAACAAAGAATCACAAATCTATAAAGTCAATATAGAAACAAACTCAATACAGATACAAATATCATTACAGGAAGCGTCACCACATACGTGCATCTGAAGAATATTTAAACTTTGATAATTATACCAGATGACTAACACAATGTTAGCTTTAGATGCTTTGACATCCTCCTCACATAGTCTTCATTAGATGTTCAACACAAAGAAAAAAAAATCTTCAGCTTTCTACAACTTCAGGCAAAATTTATGCATTGTACAAACAAGGCTAAGTGTATATACGTTCATGCAAATTCACATTTAGGCTCAGAGTATCTGTTAAGCAAAAAAACTTTTTTCCATCTGGGCAACGGTTGGTTTATGTCATAAAATTTAGGACATTCCAGTTAAAGAGCAACAAGATGGTATTTGAAAGAATTAATGGCTTATATTCGAGCAAAGAAGAACTACTCTGGGCTTGATATTGCTTATCTTGCCTTCCTAAGGAGGCTACTGAGATACTCTAAGTAGACAGCCAGCTAGTGGGCCAGAAAACTGTGTAGACAGGGCCTTTTTTCTTCCACCCCTGTTTTATATCATCCCATCCACTGCAAATGTGTCAAAGACTGTGTACAACCGCAGTACATACCTGATGTGGGGAAGGAGCCTCATCACTGAGACGGGGGGTGGAACGAGTCAGAGCCTGCAGGTTGTTGGCCTGTGCATCAGAAACAGCAAGTCCCAGGTAACCTTGTATTGAGAGAAAAGATTTTAACACAGAAAATTCACAGCTTTTACTGTGCCAATATTTGCTGTTGACTCATTCTATCATTAATATAAAGAATATTAATAACAAGTCTCTTTGACGGACCCATTAACAATATGTACCTTTCCCAGATTCTTACGGGAATTTGTAGAATTCCCATGCTTCTGTAACAAAATGTGAGCTGCACAAGATTTAAGAATATTTTGGACTGTACTTCGATAAATTCTGAAAGGGTTTTTAACAATGTGGGAAATTAACTCCTAGTCCAGCTTCATGTCGTACAATCAGAGAATTCGACCCAGATACATAAGAAGAGCTTTTATACTTCTCTGAGCTAATTTATTCGAGATCAGTGTATGGCCCTTTGCTCTAAATTGCAAAGACTGCAATTCAAAGGCTGAATTGCTTCATGATGCATACAAATCGTCCTGCCTAACATGATTTAAATAAAACTAATTTTAAAATATAACAGGTTCATTCGTAACACTTAAAGTGGGAATTCATATGCTGCTTGGCTTATAATAAACTGTCAGGGCACATTAGTTTAAGAAACATCCCTATGAATCACTTCAGATTGTAGGCAGTTATGAGTTGTCTTCACAAAGGAGATGCCATAATAACTGCTTAATGATGCTTGCACTACTGTTACTACTATTATAACACTAAAGTCAATTAGCTTAAACATTACATTATGTAATCAAACACAGCTCAAAGAGCTATTTCATAAAACTAGGAAGAAAATAGTGACCTATCAAAACCTCTGAGAATTAAAGTATTCTCTTTTTACATGGACACAAGTCTGAGAGCATTACTTTTTCATAGAATCATAGAAGAGGGGAAAGAAATATCATTATCCCTGTTTTCATAAGACATGGATCATAGAATCATTTGGGTTGGAAGGGACTTCAGAGATCATCCAGTTCCAACCCCCCTGCCATGGGCAGGGACACCTTCCACGAGACCAGGTTGCTCAAAGCCTCATCCAGCCTGGCCTTGAACACTTCCAGGGATGGGGCATCCACAGCTTCTCTGGGCAACCTGTCCCAGTGCCCCACCACCCTCTCCAGGAAGAACTTCTTCCTGATATCCAATCTAAACCGCCCCACTTTCAATTTAAACTCATTCCCCCTTGTCCTGTCACTACAGGTCCTTGTAAAAAGTCCCCCCCAGCTTCCTTGTAGCCCCTTCAGGTACTGGAAGGTGCAATAAGGGCTCCCCAGAGCCTTCCCTTCTCCAGGCTGAACAAGCCCCACTCTCTCAGCCTGTCCCCATAGCAGAGGGGCTCCAGCCCTCGGAGCATCTCCGTGGCCTCCTCTGGACTCGCTCCAACCAGGCCTATATCCTTCTGATGTTGAGGGCTCCACAGCTGGACGCAGCACTCCAGGTGGGGGCTCACCAGAGCAGAGTACAGGGACAGAATCCCCTCCCTCGACCTGCTGGCCACACTTGTCCCAAGAAAATGTCAGAACTTAGGAGTAATGAGTAGTCCCACAGGTATGGCAGTCCTCTGGATACTAGGAAACCCTAGCTTAGAGCATCCTTCTGCTTAAAACTGAAGACTTGACCTAAAGCACATGAGCAAGTGCTGGGGGGAGTAGGGATTTGTACCTCTGCAGTATAGTAATTGTTAAAAACTAATTCTCATCACAAGCATATTACAATAACTGATAAAAAGCACATGTATCTGTATGTTCTTCACATGATGAACCCATTGTTACAAAACTGTACTTGAAACCAATCTACAGTAGAGAAACTGTGTAAAATTGATAGACAGCAACATTTTTTTCACTTTGAGTACATGAAAGCTTAGGGTGTCAGGTCACCAGACATTAAAATTCAGTATTCCAAAAAGATCATGATCTAAGTTAAAGATAAAATCAGAAAACTTACTTTACAGGAGATGAGATAACTAACTGGATGAAAAGGTCCCAGATTAAAAAGCCGGGTCAGAATGGAAGATATTTAGATGCCTAACAGATAATTTCACACCAGCCAGGGAAGTGTATTTTCACTTCTGTCGATGCTATACAAGACACAACTGTCACCGCAGCCCCAGGAGCACCCTGGCAGTAGAGCCAGAAGGTACCTGTCCATCTGGGAGACACCTTGGGCTGGCTGAGGCACTTGTCTAATTCACATTCCTTCCTTGACACAGGTTGATCCCCACGGAAACATGCTGCTTAGCTCACTTGAAATACGGAACAACATCAGCAGCTCAGACGTGTTCACGAGCCTCCGTGACTCCCAAGCCACCACGTACATGTACGACAGTGCCAACCTGCAGTACAGAAGAGCCACTTCCAGCAGAGACCTCTACACCAGGAGCGGTCTGGACAGGCACAGGCTCCATAAAAAAGGACGCTTACGAAGAAGGGCATCCCAGATCAAAGTCAAAATCCCTGATTTGACTGATGTTAACTCCATAGACAAATGGTCCAGAATGGTCTTTCCCATCACATTTATTCTTTTCAATGTTGTTTACTGGCTGTATTATGTCCACTAATTTATGCAATAATGTTACTATAGACTAACATAATTGTTTCTTTTCCTTCTTAATTTCTCTGAAGAACTGCAGTAGCCATAATGTTACATGTCCCAGCTAAGACACCCAGCCACTGAATACTTTCAGATTTAAGTTTTCAAAAACCCCGAAAAAGCAGCCTCACCACATGCATATCAGAACAGTACGGATGTACTTTTAAAGAGCATCTTCAGCAAAGGCACTATTTCTTGATTTTTACAAGGAGTTTGTGCATCACCCATGACCTTTCTGCGTGTGCTTCATGTTTATTTCAAGCGGAATAAAAATTAGTGCTACTGTATGGCTTACCACATATTGGCAGCCCACAACAGCATGCTTCCAAACAAGACAGTGAAAGGACTCAAAGTAGTAGTCATGTCACAGTCTTTCAGCATTGAGAGTGTAAAGAAATTTGAAGAAATAACGTATTGAAAGAGTATAACTATTACATCACAGGCCATTTCAAAGTTCATAGTTATACTAGGAAATATTCCCATAGTGTCTGTGAGAAGTACCACTCAAGGAGGTGTAAGTCAATTCACATTTTCAGAGGCAATGATTTTCAAAAGAAAAAGGGTAGCAGAGACAAATCCCACTGAGTTTCCAACTAAGGAATCAGCTGGGTGGATCTAACTGGAATTTTGTTATTTCCACAAAGTAGCAAAGCTGAAACTGATGAGAACAACTGTGCCGTCTGTAGATTTGTATTAAAAAGCAGAAAACAAACACGTGTTCATTCCTAGAAGCAATTCCTAAGGGATATCCCAGCCCAAAGTGGCCACTTTTCTTGACTCCCAGGTTTGCTGTGGCTGGTAATTGCAACAAATTCTCCCAAAAGTCAGCAGATGCCTGGAAACAGATCTCAGGAGAGCTCTGCACACAGTTTCCTACAGGTTTCCTTACTCCACTGAGAGACAGGAGATATAACTGAGTCTTAGGGCACACTGATGATGTTGGGCGCCTGAGTTACCTCTCCCCACCCATCTGCTTATCTCCTGACACAACTCCAGCCACGGAGCCACAGGCAAAGTGCTAGCAAGCTGCATGCAACTGAGGAGCAATAGGTCAGGCATCTGTGTGTACTGAATCTATTCTCCTTCTGTATTGCTATTTTTTTTTTCCCCAGCAGTGTTTACACTGTGTTACCTGACATAGCATTTTATTGAAACGGGACTACTAACAGTTAAATTTTACTTTGTATTGAAAGTGCTTCTTACTTTTAGGAGAGTCGAGATATACAAGCCAACAGAGTCCATGCAGGCACCAAGGTGACTGTTGTGAATCCCACCTGGTACAGAAAGAAACCTTGATCAGGACAGTAGGCAGCAATACTTGCCACGAGGAGTTAGAGAATACAAATGAGTGATGTGGTAAGCTTCTTCACCAGTTCCTTGTTGCCTGGAAGTAAGGTCAACTGGTGACCCTATCGCAACTTGATATTACAAGTTTTTAATCACAACAGAATAATAAATGAAACATAGCTACATGAAAATGTTTGTCACATCCTGCAAGACCTGGACCTCCCAACAGATCAGGTCCTGCTGCCCCTTCCCTTTGTGCAGCAAGCTTCTGCAGAAACAGTCTGGAATGATAAATCTCCAAAGAGGAAAGGGAACACATTTAATTTAGTCATTACAAAAAAAAAAAAAATAAGGCTGCAAAACAGGCATTTAACATTGCCTCGAGACGTCTATCATCATGTACATATTCTAGGGGTATCCTTGAGACCATCAGTTTTTCTGTGGGCTCCAAAGTCCCAGTCTCATCCCAAATTCAGTGGAGTGCAAAGGTGGTCTCCTCAGCTGTCTTCTCTCTGCTACAACCTCTAACCTACAGTCTATTAAAGGGTTGTGCAATTTTACCAGGTTGATCGGCCACTTGGTGCAAATTGAGGTGATTCAGGACAAATATTAATTTGGTCAAATGGCTCTTCTGAATAGGTGTCGTGATTTAACCCCAGCCACAACTAAATGTCCCTGGAGTGCAAAGGTGGTCTCCTCAGCTGTCTTCTCTCTGCTACAACCTCTAACCTACAGTCTATTAAAGGGTTGTGCAATTTTACCAGGTTGATCGGCCACTTGGTGCAAATTGAGGTGATTCAGGACAAATATTAATTTGGTCAAATGGCTCTTCTGAATAGGTGTCGTGATTTAACCCCAGCCACAACTAAATGCCCTGATTCTCTCCCCCATCACACTGGGGCAGGAGGAGTGAGCAATCAACTGTGTGGTTGTTAGTTGCGACTGGGGTTATACCATGACAATAAACTACAACTTGTATGCCTGTTCCCACCCTAAAACACCTCCAAATAATTTTTCAACACTTGCACCGTATCGGCAACCCAAATAGGAAGTGTTGCACATCTTCCCACATGGGACATTTTGATTAACCTTTTAGTAAAATTTAAGCAATGTTTAGATCAAGAATCTTCTAGTGGTAACTAACAATAATATTTTGGTATCATAAAACAAACAATACAGAGAACATATGGAAGCCTTGCATGCTAAGCAAGCTGAGCTTTCCGAAACTGCAAAAAGAAAAAGCCCCAGGAGGGAGACAGGAGTAGGGCCACAAGCACTGTCCAATCCAAACACACACCCCATTGAACAGTTCTGTATTCAACAAACTGGCACCGGCCTTTACAGAGAGTAAGTCCACGAGCCAGTGAACTTGCCAGCAAGGAATACATTCTGCAGAGTTATAGTGACAAATGCTCTGGGAGAAACAGCCGTCAGTGACCCCTGTTTTGGCATTAACTGATTGCCCGAAGACATTCACAGACAGGCCACTGGTCAGTAATTTAACCCAGCTGTTCCAGTGGTGCAGAGACATTGCAACCCCTCCATGCACCTACGGCGGACGTTTAGGAAAAGCCAACGTCCAACGTGATATTGAAACAAGAACTTGGGTAATAAAAAGGATCTGTTGCCATCTTAAGAGCAAAGATCAGCTTTACTGGTGTTCAGCATCATTTCTTGTAGACTCCCAGCTAGTTCTTGCACAGATGTTAGCCACATGGGCTGAAAGCAGTTACACTGTACGCTTCCAAAAAAAGAAAATAAAAAGGGGTATGGAGCACAGGAAGGGCCATTACAAACCAAGAGCAGCGCACATGCAAACCTCCTTCAGAACAGCATGATCCAAAACAGCAGGGTCCACCCTCATGCATGAGGAGTCCTCCAACACGGGCCAGCGACACAAACCCCGGCCCCGCTGCCAGTTCCGAAGGGCGTGCACCAAGCCCTACCCACGCCGAGACCTGGAAGCCATGATCTTATGTGAAGAAAGAGCTGCCAGCTCTTGGCACAAAGTTTTGCAGCAGGGGCTAATAATCCCCCACAGATGGAGGCAAGAGCCACATACTGCAGGTTGGCAATATCTTAGCCCAGAGCCAGCATTCCCTGCCTCCCACTGAGCTCCTGTCTGCACAGTTAACCACAAACTCTGGTAAAGAAAACAGAATTTGGCAGACGGGCTTGCAAGCCACAATGGATTTAAAATAAAACCTCTTTCAAAGCCTCAAAAGAGAATTAAAACAAAAACTTGGGAACACAGTATATAACCATAACTAGCACATTTTCCCTCTTTCAACTACTTTTAGAAAAAAAGCAGAAGCAAACATTTCTCACTTGAGAGCAACAGCTTGGCAGAAAAGAAGAGGCAGTGGTTATTAGAGGCACAGGATGGAAAATCGTACCTATTTATGGGTTACCCATGTACATTGCCATCTGGAGCTAGAAACGAGTGAGTACAAAAGAAACACCACCCCTTCCCATCAATAGGTTGAAGTCATTTGGCTGGCTTTAAGCAATAAAGGTGGGTAATGCTGTAATACTAAGCTCCATCCCTGCTGTACTTCAGTAGTTAGCTTTCCTGTCCTTATGAACCACAATTCAAGATCAGCATCGGTAAGGTCACAGAATCACAGAATCAT